TAATACATGTAGAAAAACTAGCAGCATACTGGATCTGTGAGATGATCCAGAAATTCTGATCTTCATACTCTAGGACAGAGAAAAAGCTGTTTATTTCCCATACAAATAGCACCACCGTATGGTAAAAAGGAAAGAGATCAGCCTAACTTGCTCTTACCTATTCGATCAAACTTTTTGTCACACTTGGGACACTGCAGTAGTTTTTTGCTACTGCTATGAATGACGACTGGAGCTAAGCCTTCAGGAATATTTCCCACTGAATCAACTGTCTCTGAACCCTCTTCAGTATCATTCTGTTCTTTTTCACTTTGTTCTTCAGACTCTGAATCTTCACCTGACATCTCCTCTTCCTGTCCCTCTTCATCAGCATTGCATTCACTTTCACTGTCTTCAAATTCGCTTCTATCAGATGTTTCCTTGTCAGAACTGACTTTTTCCAAATTGCTGTCAGAGGCATCACCACTTTCATTGTCACTGTTCTCAAATTTAGCTGGACATTTACGATTTCTCGTAGAACGTCTAGTGGAAAAGTTGGCCTTCTCAAGCATTTTTAGCCCATGTTTTCTTTCCAGTGAAAAGGATCTGTGGGCTTTAGCCAAATGATTTTCTAAGGACTTCTTGTAACAGAAACTTCGACCACAAAAAGTGCACTGATGACTATTTAATAGTTTACCTGTCAGTTCACTGAGTGTTTCTACCGGTGTAGGTGCATCAGTTACCACGTCAGTCTGTACGTTAGAAACACTTTCATTATTTAGTAACTTCACTGCATCTATGATATCTAAAAATTTTGCCGCCTCCAGCACTAACGGAATTTCATTTTTATACACAAAAAACTCAGAGGTGTAGAGAAACTCAAGCAAATGCTGAAAGACAGAATGTGTTACATGATCTAACGTGACGACATCGGTGCTTGGGTTTTTGCTCAAACAGGCATGAAAATAACTACTCCCGACAGCCACTACAACTTTGTGAGCACTAAATTCTTTTCCTTCTACGATTATGAGTAAATCACAAAATGATGGATGTTTCTGTCTATCGTCATTTAAGTACTTAAGTAGATTTTTGTTATACTGCAAGGAGCTTAAGAGTTTTCTTTGTTCTGATGATGGTGAAAGTGCTTGGGAAGATTCAAGCTGATCTGCAGGAGCTGTTTCTGCAGAGACAATTTCTTGTGCACAGTCTACTACAAGAATCTGTTCTGAAGTATCTTTCTCATGGCCAAGATGAACCTTTTCGTTTAGATTTGCAGCGAGCCGTCTCCTTTTCTTCATTGCAGAAGTGCAACTTCAAAATCAGGAGCTTCATAGGTGATTGGCAAGAAATTCTTGTGAAGACTTGGTTCTGCTCCAGACCTTGAGAAAACACCTAACAGTAATTTCATAATCTGCAAAAGAATTGTGATAAAAATTACTCTTAGCATTTAACCATAACTTCACCTCTTATCAGCGCTTTCTACGTTTCACTCTTAGTTTTATCCACCCTGCCTACCTTAAACCGTTATTATTAAATTACCAAAATCTCATCGCCTCCCATTCCAGACCTCTGAGTGAGGGAACCGACACTGCCTATTATTAGATCTAAAGAGGCGGCTGGAGCGGGTTTTGCTCGCCTCCCAGACGCATACAGCCTGGGCAATACGGGATGGGCGTACACTGCGGTTACGTTTATGACACCGAGGCGCATTCGCTTTTCCTTTAAGCCCAAGGCGACAAGCCAATCCTCCTGCTCTTCCCGCCGGTGGCCCGTCCCCCCGGGCCCGCTCGGAGACGCGCCCGGCGCCCGCCGAGCCGGGGGAGCTGCCCGGGCCGCCCTCCCCCCGCGCCTGTCACCGCCGAGTGCCAAACCCGCGGCCGAGCTCCCTCGGCCCGGCCCGGGGACAGTGCCTTTGTCCCAGCGCCGGCCGGTCGCCGCGGGGCCGAGTGCCGGCCTGAGGGAAGCCCTGCGGCCCCGAGCGCGGGGGCAGAGTGGGCGCCCACAGACCCGCCCCTGCCGAGAGGGACATAAAATGGCCTCGCCCCCAGCCCGCCGCCGGTCGCGTCCCGTCCCCGCCACCCACCCACAGACAGGCAGACCGACCGACTGACCTGCGCGGCGCCGGGCGCTCCCCGGGGCCCGCTCGGCCGCCAAACGCCGCTGCGCTGCGCTGCGCTCCGCACCCGCTTCCGCCGCTTCCGGGTCCCGGCGCCGCGCGCAGCCTCGCTCCCCGCGCCGGCGGGAGAGGGCGGCGGCGGCGGTGGCGCTGCTGGGCATGCGCGGGCGGCGCGCGCCAGGGTCTCGCCACGCAGCTCCGCGCCACGGGCCGTCCTCCGCCGTGTCCCCGTCCCCCTCCGCTGTCGGGTGGCCGCCGGCGGGGACGGGGTGGCGCTGGGAAATCGCCGTGGGCGGGAAGCGCCGCGCGGCTGCCGGAGGGGGAGCCACTCGCGACAGTGACCGCCGACTCTGAGCGCCCGGCACCCGTGGCTTCCGTAGGGGTTCGGGGTGGGCGGCGAGGCGGGTGGGCTTGGTGCCGCCAGGCGCTTAAATAACTGCGCGAAAACGAGGAACGAATTGCTGAAACAGCAGCCCGTGACACGTAACTCGGAATTCTCAAGCTGCCAATGGTTTTCCTCAATAACACTACTTCGCATTTGTCTTTTACCTGAGTATTTTGAAGCGCTTCGCAGGCGTCCTTGTGAAATTTCCAGTTTCCGCGCTTCCCGGATGGCAGAAAGAGCAAGCCCACGAGTGCCCCGCGGCTCGGGCGAGGTTCCGCTTGGGGGTGCAGTTCCTCAGCGTATCGGAGGACATAAATCCTTCTACTACCTTTTCAGCTTTCCGAGGATAGCTGATTCCTAGCGACAGTGTTTTTCTCAGACCTTCAAAGAACTATAATGTTAACGCAGGATTAAGCTTTGTTCCATGGCATGTGTTCTGTAATTACATGATTTGCAAATTGATACTGGTCATCACTTTGCACAATAAACACGGTGTGACTTTCAGGTGTTGCATTTTTTGATAAAAATACTGAAAATTCCCAAAGCATTTGTTACCTCCTGATCGCTGCTCTGCTGTAGTCCTGTGCATTTTAACTGAAGTCTACAATCATTTAGCTTCATTTTTCCACTGTAATAGTACATGAAATCCAATTATAATTTACTATTCAATTATTTCAAATAGTTTAAAAAGTATCAGTTCTTTCAGTTATGACTACTGAGGTGAAACGATGTCATCAATAAGTAATAATAGAGCAATCAGTATTATGTTTTTCTTGCACTGAAGAAAAAATTAATTATCTTTGGGGCATCCGCTCTTTTAGGATGTTGCTTGTGCACACCCGACTTTCATTTCTATGGTCATAGTTAAGTTGTACATAAACTGTAAAAATAAGTTTCTCTAGTTTGATTTTGCATGGAAAGCAGGAAGTTTTGAGAGCAAGGCACTAAGTTTTAAGCTGAGCCTTATATTTCACTCTAATCTGAATAGCAAGTACATAAAAACATCATTTAGCAGGTAACTGGCTTCTTGGGTCTTACTGTTTCCATAGCAAATGTAATCAGTTTGGAAGTACAAATACATGCTTTATGAGTTTTCATAAGTTAAATATATAAGGAAAATGCAACCTTGATGAGAACTATTTTGCCAGCAAGCATAACCAAGCTACGAAACTGTTCTGTGGAGCAGGCCTGAGACTTGCTTAGTTGTCACTGTACTGTAGTGGGATTCAGGTGTTTTTCAGTCTGTAACTACTAGATTGCCATGGACCAGAATTTCCATACCTGGTACCTGGAATGGAAAAATTAAAACAGATATTCCACATGCTAATTTTTTTTTCTGAGACTTTATATTTCTGCATGTACTTGGGAGATGCTTCAAATGCAGAAGGTTGAATTGACAATAGAAGCCATTTATTCCCGTTTAAAAACAAATATAGTGCCTTCCTTAGATGTAAATAAGTGAAGAATTATGGCCAAACAAAAATATTCTGGGCATAATTGCTTCCACCAGCATAATTCAGAGTTGGCATCCAGTCTCCCTGCAAAGAAAGTAGAAGTTACATGTCTGCATTACAGCATGGACTTTGGCCCAGTTTTATTTTTCTTCCTGTTGCACTTTAAGAAGTTCATTGTTTTTGACCGTGCCTTTTGTTTCTTCTGTGATGTTGGGCTTCAGTTGGTTGGGGGTTTTTGTTTTGGTTTGGTTTTGTTTGTTGTTTTCCTCCCTAGATAACTACCTGATTTTCTTACTGATATTTACTGTGTTGAGTACTATATGGTTTCTTGCCAGTCTATAAATCATATACATCTGCCCTAATTGCCAGAGTCTACAAGTTAGCAGGAATTTTGACTTAGCACAAGCCTAGGTAACACTTTTTCTCTTTTGCTGTTTTATGTTACATGAAGGATTTAGTTCAAAGAAAAATTATACAATGCTAAGTGATCCAATACCAGGGTTGGCATCCACAGCTGGCATTGCTACAATAATTACGGTCTGGAAACAAAATGTCCTTGAACTCTCGGGTCATTATGGTTCTTTCAGCATTAATTCTTTTATAGTTAAAGTGGTACAGGCAAAATTTAACTATATTAATCCCATTTGTTCCAATGCTTACTCATGCTACATTTTTTTGTCAGTTAATAGAAAATCTCACATAGATATAAAAGCTGACTTTTGTGTTGATTAGAGACAGCATCAGTCTAAGAATAAGCACTTGCTCACCTATGTGAGACTGTACATAATTTGCAAGTGGAGCTGTTTAGCTTCATCCAAGAAAACAGTATGATATTCTTGAATTGTTGGAATTTAAGAAGTAGATTTGTGCAAGAGGGTTTGGTGTTGGGGGATGTAGTTTCATCTTGAAATACCTGTTCTCCAGCTCAAATCTTCACTTCTAGGTATTTGAATCAAATACAATTTAAGCAATAAGCAGATAGGGAATCAAGTCTGATGTTAAGCACTTAACTGCCAACCAGACAGAAATAAAATTACATAAAAATAGCATGCAAGTTTTAAGACTTGGCTGAGTAATTTCAGTTTATTCCCAATATATTCTTTAACAGCTGTTCACTGTAAGTACCCAGTTATAAATCTAGTAGCATAAACATTCACATCCCTTTCTAAACAGCCACCCTCAATTCGGCAATGACATTTACTGATGGTAAATGTCTATCTCTCTAGGAATTTTAGAACTAACTTGGTTTGGGTGCATGGTGCATGGCACTGAAACATGACCCATGCTGTCATCCTTTTTGCATCCCAGATGTGTCAGTGATGGGTGGGACCTAGGGAGGAACCCACAAAGCCTGTACTTCCTCTGGTCTGAGATTTTTCTGTATTTTATTGGCAGTCACCACATATACACAAATGTTTTAAATTAGGCTGTGAAGTGAAAGGGTTATAAGATTGTCTAGAGACTCCCAACAAGTTTTCTAGCCAACAGTGCTGAATAAAGTCCATTGCTGGAAGCACTGCCAAGAAATTCTTTCAACTAGGCCATGAAAAGACCACCCCAGTCTCTCAATTCAGGTCTCTCTGGGGCATTAATCAACGGGAGGCTTGTTGTACTATTATGGATGTTTGACATGTGAATCCTGTTGATCAGGCTTCTCCTCTTGTCTCCTCTCTAAGGTGCAGCAAGTGTAATGTGTAGAGAAGGAGGTCAGGTCCACACTGTATCAGCCTGCCTCACTCCATCTGAGAAGCTTTATGTGGGGAAGGGCGGGAACTGTGCCTCTGCTTGGGCTCCGTTCTCTCCAGTGTTCTAGCAGCGGGTATGGATTGAATAACAATGATCTTGGCCCTTGCCATCTTTTTCTGGGGGATTAATGCAGCGTTGAAGTTACAGAGAGATGTACAGCTACGGACTCCACAGACCAGATTTCCTCCTGGAACGCTACTCCAGTGCAGCCCTGAGGTGAAAGTAAGAGAGGCCTGGAACAAGACACTCAATACTGTCACAATAATGTAGAAGAAGTTTTGTTAAGTCTGAACTCAGTACTAGGTTTGCTCTACAGATAGGTCCATAGGTGCACTGCATTCCCTTTGCACTTCGAAAAAGATTGCCGCTGGAGAAGTCCTTGGGTAGAGAGAAATTGCACACGTACAGTCCTGCTGGTGCTTGCGGTGCTGTCATCCATGCCTGCTCCACCCGATCCGCTAGTGCTTGGCAGCCCAGGGGAAAGCAGGGAGAGAGCAAAGCTGAATGAAAGAAAAAAAAATGGAAGAAATATCTGCTCTGCCCCTCTACTGTTGTATGTCTCAAGCAGTGTTACAAAATCACTGTAAATTAAATCTGTACTCCCTGCCTGAAGCTGTGTAAAGAAGAAACAAGGATTTACATAATTCTTTTCTGTTGTTTTGGGCCATACTTTCAACAAAACAAACCTTTTGCAATAATACACTACTAACATCAAAAAGGTATTTTCCTATAAGCAAGGCAAGAATCAGGGAGAAATGCATTATCTTTTATTAGTTCAGTTGGTGTATGTGACCATCTAAACTAAAACCAGACCATCACCTCAAGAAGGCTTCACATTCCCCAAATCATCTTTATTTTTCCAGCCGTATCAGCTCAATAAGTAAAAGGTATTGCCTCTCCCAAAAAATCTTGACTTGTTTATAGCCTTAGACCATCATGACTACAACAATATTATCAAATTTCCAGTAAAACAAGCAAAATCAGACCTTCCTGTACAGAAATAACATTGGTTCTCAAAAATGTATTATGAAAACATATGGGGTAAACAGCTTGAAAAAGTTTTTCTGTGTCTTACATTGCTGCATTTCCATTGCACTGCACAACGAGAGACCTGTAAAAGCTGCCGGGGCGCTCTGTGTGCTGAGGCCCTGTTACAAGACAACAAGAATTTCAATAACGAAGGGTAGCAGAGAGCTGATGTCACTGTCACTTTTTTCAGTCAACCAGAAACCAATTATCCCTGGCTGACAGGCCCAATTAAATCACCGGGTAGAGGGAAATGCCAGCTATCCTCCCCTAGAGTTAGGTAATTGGGGCTTTGTTACGGTCAGACCTGGTGCTGTTTGTTGGGCCACAGGATATGAGTAAGAGCTGTTCTGGTCTCTCTCTCTCTTTCTCCATCCTTTCCATAGATATTAATGATTTTTTACCCCTAAGTAAAGTAGTTGCATTTTACATAAAAAATACTAATCTTTTAATACGTATTCTCTGTCATAATAGGAACCTGAAGGTCATTCTACCTTTTCCAGTTTATAGAGAACATGAAGTTAGGAATTCTGCTGTGAAAGGCCTCAAGTGGAGTCTTTGTACTGATTTATACTTAAGATCCCAGGTCTTTTATGTAGTACTCTTGCAAGGATATAGAAAGTTTTCAATTTATACTACTTTGAAACTTGAGAGCATGTTTGACATAATCTTAGACTGAGGAGTTGCCTAGTTTACTCTATGGACTGTTTGGAGCTTAAGAAATGAGGCACTGAGCGTGCCAAGGTCCATTTTTGTTCAGGTTAGCATTTAGTCATGGCCCTCTTAGGTCTTAAGGAATTAATTGCTTGCGATGACACAAGGGAGAGGTACTGAACTAGCTAGCTCATTTAAATTACCAACTTTAAAAGCTTCTTTAATATTATAAGCAGTCCAGCTACGTTAACACAAAGTTTCACATGAGCTAAATGCCCTGCAGGTGTTACCCAGCCTAGCTTGTTTAGGGTATGGCACAATGCAACCAGATTATTTATGTCCGGACATAAACAGTTCTGTTTCATATGTAATTCAAGAAGGTGTGTTGCCAGGAAGAGTCAACTCCTGAGTCTTTCCACAATGTAGCTCTGTCATGTGCCTGTCCATCCCAGTGACCTGCAATTCCTTTGCCAAGTCAGAGGAGATCTCTGCAACACTTTTAGCACCCCTGTTCACGCAGTCAGAGCCATCTTGCGACTGCTTGAGCTGGGTGTGACAGACGCTGTCGCATTTGAACCGTACAGTCATGTGCTTGCAGAACGCTTACATTGCCCAGTAGAAAGCAGAATTTGGTGCACAGGTTAACATATAGCTATATAAGCATACTGAAACATTTGTGTACAATCTGCTCAGTAATTCTTATTTAAGAGAAAAAAAACACTTGCTGCTGAAGACATTTTCAGAAGTATAATGCATAGAAGTTTCTGAATGAGGTAAAAAATTAGAAGGCCAACAATGGTGTTTTATGGGAAGGTTAGTGCATGAAGCTGAAAAATTACCAGCAGCTTTTAAACCTTTGCGTCCTCAAACAATATCCACTAGTTATAAGGACTGCTAGAAGCAGTCAGATAGGCCTACCAGCTCAGTGTTTATCGAGGCTTTCCAGAACTCTTCTCATTCCCTTTGTGATGAGCCTTCACATGGTTACAGTTGTCAGGCAATCAAAATTAATCTCTCTGTTAGAGAGGTAGGGTGCTTCAAGGTGTAGGAGGAGATTAAAATGCTGTTCTGTACCCTCCTTAATCACTATCTATATAATTTGTAGATGCTTTTTTTTTTTTTTTTTTTTTTTATAAATCTAAAGGTACGTGTAATCTACAATACACTTTTTTCCAAAGACACCCAGTTGTCAAAACTGAAGGATATTTTAGGGTTATATGAGCGTTTTTATCTGTCATTGTTCATTTGCCTGAGCCCAATTTACGCATTCTATGATGTATTGCCAGTATACATACAGTCAGGACGAAAGGCTGCAGTTACGAAGCTTATGTCTTGTATAACTCCGCTCACTATAAAAAGAAACACTACATAATGAAAGCATTATATCTGTTTCTGAAGCATCACTATAGTGCAAGTGAGAATTTCAGGACTGTCATTTATTTTAGGTGGCATTCATTATCTGATTTCTTAATTATATTTGAATAGTAAATACAACATTCTCCCAAGAAAATACAACTAGATTCTAATATCAAGAGGCAGATTAGAAGTAAATTAATTGTGCTTTGAGACCACTATTAAGAACCTGGAGCAAGACAAACTTGCTCCTGGTCAAAAAAGCAGTAGTTAGAACATGCACTGTGCAAGCACACAGCACAGAAGAAAAATGTTTAACCAAATAAAACTGAAAATACAGGATTCATTCTGCGCATAAACAGCCCGCAAAGAAGGTTGTACAAGAAATCTCTGCAGGAAAGTTATTTTAAAAATTCATACTAGCCAAAATAAAAAACATAACAACAATTAAATGACAGCTTAGTAAAATGTCTGTATAAATGCAATAGCAGGTTAAGATTGCCTTGTCATCATTCCAAAGTAAGCGTAACTTACTATGAAATAGTCCTGTAACAATAACCTTGTAACAATGACCTTCCCAAATGAAAAAAATGAACAAAACCAACTTGCTGCCTGGGGTTTCACTGGAGCTAAGCCCATTTCAGTGAATTTCAATACAATGTTACGATCAGTTGAACATGTGTCTCAGTGCGGTTATTTGTTATACCAAGATTAACGTCATTTACCTTTAGAAAGAAGCATGGTTTTCCAGTAAAAATAACTGAAGGGGAGGATCAGTTCTTAATTCCCCTTTATTAAGCAAAATTGATAGAGCACTGTAACACTTCTAAACAAAAGGCTAGCAGCTTTCTTTCTGAAGGAGAGGATCAGTTCTTAATTCCCCTTTATTAAGCAAAAATGATAGAGCACTGTAACACTTCTAAACAAAAGGCTAGCAGCTTTTTTTCTGAAGGAGTTACGCTTGCTCATATGCCTTTCTATAGCTGAATTTTGTGCCACACATCCATTTACTAACAGTAGAGCAGCTTTGCCAGTCTCGACCACAGTGACCACAGATGCTCCAAGAACTTCTGGGTTCAGTGCTGAAAGGGCTGACAGATTCTTGGGTGCCTTTACATGCTAAAGATCCACTATTGCTTTTCCTCTTATGAGTGTTTTTTAAGTTCTGCTTACACTAGTGCATTTTATTTGAATCAAGATAGGAAGAAGAGACTTCAAAGAAAATCTGGGAGTGAGAATGCTTTCCTCTCCTCTGAAAATACTTTCCATTTGCCAAACTAAACCACAGATTGAAATCTTTAATATTTGCTTATTACCTTGAAAATATTTGATATGAGAAGTGTCTTGGATTAGTTGAAAGGTTTGGTTAAAGGAATCTTTGTGTTTCAAACTTTTGAAAACACTTTAAAATTATTTTACTTGTCCAAAGGAAAAAAAAAAAAAAGGCAAGAAGGTTATACATTTTTAAATTGCCAAAACATTTTTTTCAGCAATTTAAAAAAAAAAAGTTTAAAAAAAAAAAAAAAAAAAAAAAAACCAAACAAACCCCAAACACAATAAAACACACACAAAAAAAACTAACCACAAAAACCCACCTTCTTTCTCCTACAGGGTTCCAAAAATTCCCAGCCAGATCCACTTCAAATACTGGGTGGTTAAAAGAGACCACCATCTAACTTGGTATTCCTGCTCAGGTTTTGGAAAACAGCTGTCACATTTACAGTGGCACACAGTCCAAAACAATTGTGCTTACTTTTGCTCATGATAAATGTGAGTGGATAAGTTTGTGTCTCATTATTGCTGGAAAACATGTCAGATTTGCATCAAGGTTGACCAGATATAAACATTTTTCTTCCTGTCTTGAATTACAAATGCAACACCTATCTTCAGAATCAGCGTGTCTTCTGACACATAGAAGGACATGGTCCAAGAGAAATGCCAAGTTGTTAGCAAGTAACATTAAGCGACCACAAATAGTGCAGTCTACTAGAGTAGTTATTTCAATAGCTTCTAATGTAACAAACAGCAAATACAGTAAGTTCTGCATGCCCAGCCTTCAAAAAGTTAATTCCATTTCTTGACCAATTAGCTGATTGTGATTACCAAGTCATAATGAAATTTGATGTAATTACTTACTTTGTGGTTACTGGTTTCCCACCTTATTTAAAGACAGTGTTATATAAGGATATTTTATATTATTCTACTTCATTAAATTAATACTGAAGTCTGACTGCTGCTACAGGAGTGGAGGAGGTCACAGTTAACGTGGGTTGTGTTTTATCTGTTCTTCAGTAGTCAGATGCTGCCAGAGACTGTTTAATTCACTCTGATGAATCTTATTTAAGAAGAATGAGCTGTGTCTTTAGACTACAGTTAATTTCTACCACTTAGCAATATTCAGGGCTACATTTTTGAAAGAGTTCAGTGTTTGCTATTCTTCAGGCATGTGAGTTGTTCCCATAGGTTAGCTGAGGACCTGAGGCAGAAGTCTTTCAAAAGTCCTGTGGGGATGTGGAGTTTCTCCTCACTCTGTCACACCAGTGGTTAATGTCATCAATTCTGAGTGCAGCTGAAAGCTAAGAGGAAATCTTACCCTGCTGGCATGAGGAGCTCCTGCAACATGCACAGGTGTTCAGATGGTGGTTGCTGTGAGGACTTCTTGTTTGCTACTCCAATCACACATTTTCCTGTAGGCGCTTCTGTATGGGACAAAACAGCTTGCTTGTAGTCAAGGTATTGAAAGCGCAGTTTCTGATAGCAAAATGGTATTTCTCTGACTGTGGTAACTACTTTAGAAGTGCTGGCTTACAAATTTTTGTAACCCAGAAACTCAGGTTCTCAGATTTAGAATTTAGAGTCCCACAAAACTATGTTTTGTGAATGTTGGTGCTAAAGTCCAAATCTGGCTGCTATGACAAGACCTCTCAGCAGCTGACTACAACAATCATATTCACCCAGGCTTTCACTGTATTGGAGGAAGTTACTATAAAAATGCCATATTTTACTAAAAAAAAGTCAAAAAGTCTTGATGCACAGGCAAATGGAAGGCACTCTGTGAAATTTAGCCTATGCAAAGATCTTAGCATGCCCACACAAAATTTAAGATGCAGTTCAGCAACTGAATTCAGCACCAATCCACCTGATGATTTAAGGGGCCTTATGGATACTAACAATATAAATTGATTACAGTAGTGATGTCCACTCTAACCCCCTCTCATATCCAACATGACGCTTAGAGATCAAGCTGTGCCATCTCCATCTAGGGAACATTTTCCTTTCACTGGCATGGGAACATAGTGACATCATATATGTCATTTTCATGGAGGTCAGTATCACTGCCAGTGATTAAAATAGGTGTGAAATGTTCTGAATCAACACAAGTTTGGAAGCCAGAATATTTCATTTTATCTTGTGAACAGTATCATTAAAACTGACAAACTTTGAGGATCTAATTTGGTATAAAACTGAAGCCTTCGAGAAATGCATTGGCATTAAGATGAATGCTGTCTTAACCAGTACTTAGTGGGAACTTGATATCCCTTTGGGGCGCTTACTGTTACCTATTGTTCCCATAATATTATCTAATACTTTAACACAGAGGCCAAGATTTCCAAGAGGAATTCAGTACTTGCCAGGACCCACACTGAGACACTTCAGCGATGTCTGCAGGGAAATTTTGCTTTGCACTTTCTGGAAGTCACATCCTTCAACTGGAAGCCTGCAAATCAAAGAGCTCCAAATTGTCAGATGCTTTTCAAAACCTTGTCACAAACAGTCAATACAATGACTGAATAAATATCATGAAAAAAAAAAATAATTCTAAGGCATATTAGAGATCAGGAAAAATTAAGAAGCTTCTTTATTACTTTTTGATGAGTACCATGTTTTGCATTTCCATTTCAAATTACAGTACCTCAAAATGATTTATCACTGAAAACAAATGTTGCTCATGTCACCTGCGAGCACAGTGAGACAAAACTGGTGAAAGAATTGGTTTCCTGGGCCCCAGCCCAGTGCCTGGCCTGTGAAACCAAGCTGGTTTTCGGCTTTCTCTGTTTGCAAAGACCAAAATTCAAACAACAGTTTTAGAACCATCTCCTCCTTCCCAGCCTCTCCATATGACTGTAATTATCATCCTGCCCTGTCCCTAGGACAATTACAGTATTTAACAAAAAGTAAAGTGTTTGCATATATAGTGTGTGTTAAAATCAAGCAACCTTGGTTATAAATCCTGCCTTCCTAATTTGTGCTCTTTTTCCTCCACTGTTGCCTGCTGGAGTTTTTGGGTCTGAATTCCTTGTGAAACCACTTAGTATCTATCAGGTGAAACTATACTCATACCAAATGCCTTTGAAACCATTACTTGCCTGTACAGCCATCTCCTTTGAAACAAATAGGCATTTCAATTTAATTCCAGTACTTACAGTTTTATGACTTTCTGGTTTGTTGTATGAGGTAACTCACTCTGAAGGAAAGAAAAAAGAGAGTAAGAGGATTTGCAAGTCTTAGCATGTCTACTCTGCTGAAGTGAAAAGCATAGAGGTAAAAAGTAAGTTTACAACCCATTTAGCACTTAATATATCAGTGGTTTTGTAAAAACATTATTTGCCTCATTTTGTTAAGCTCTCCTATAACCTTGACACTCACAGGAAGATTATTGGTACAGGCAGAAACTTCCTGATTAGATGGCTCATTAGCAGCAAGGTACAGAATACTAATTGCAAATTTTCATCTGCATTGACAAGGCCTGACATAGCATTCATCTGACAGTGGAATTGCTTCCCTGGTGATATCAGCCACACACAATACAATAAAAACATGTTATTTTACAAGAATTCATCGAAGATGAGGATAAGTGAATCACACGCTATTGAGTTCTACAGGTCCCAGGGGAATCCTGTCATACCTTACAGAGTCACTTTGTTTTGCCTACCTAAGTGTAAAATAGTCAGGAGAGACTTCATTTGAAAAACCAAACGGCTTAAACTCCTTGTCAGAAATGCAATAATTTGAACAGCATGCACCTTAACAAATACCTGACCATGAGCAATTACAAGGTGCTAGCAAATATTATTTGAAATTCATGTAGTTGAAAATACAGTTGGAAGTGGCTGGGTTATTTCCCCCACCATTTCTATTGTGCAAAATGAGATATATCTGAGTGAATTGACTTGACACTTCTGTAATCATTGGTTAAATTTATAATATAGGTTAGCAGGTAGAAATCCCTCATTACTTAGTAGGAAAATGGCTACGTGGAGAAGCAAAAAAGTAATTATAATTTCAAAAAATATATTACACTTAAGGAAGCAATAGGCTTGGCATATCTTGCCAAATAATTTTATATTTTCAGATAAACCACTTAAGTTTCATACAAACATTTATATTCTGCAAATTGGCAGAACTGGAAGCTTGTGCTCTGCTGGGTCTTCTGAAAGAGAACGTTCTGCTTTGAAGTGCTCTTCAGGCTGAGGAAGGAATAAAAAGAGAAAAGCAAGAGTTCAAGGGGAAAAAAATACTTGTATACCCTAAGAACAATGAAAAAGAAGCTCAAAAGAAGTAATATTTGCAGACTAATATAAGAAGTTAAATATAGTCATAAAATATTTATCAGTGGAAAAGCATGGGCCAAGGGAGTTAACTTTGCAAGTGTTGTGGGAAATCAATACACGTAGTTGTTCTTGTTGCAAGGCGCCTAATTAAAATGAAAATACAACCTATATCAATTTTGTTAATAAGGTAAACAACGTCCTGTTACAATACAACTCTCTATCCACAAGACCTTCTTAGCCAGCCCTTATCTACATTGGTTTGTCCGTTGCCTGTTGGTTTGTTCATTCATAATTACCCAAATAGCTACAAGCTAAAAAAATTATGCTATCTATGAACTGTTTCCAAAAGAGGGTACAAGTACTATGAACAGGAATATGATCTGGTCAGGTCCATTGTTCTAGCAAACTCCATTGTCCTGAGTTTTCAACAAATACTTCAGAATGTATTTTAATACCCAAACCATGATGTCAGACCAGAGTGACTTCATGCTCTCATTCCCCACAGTTTTTCATAACATCAAGTCCTCCCAATGGTGAACAGTGGCACATATCTGTGATGAAACTGGGCAAAAACTTAACAGAAGGTATAAACAAGAAGCACTGCTGAATGCTAGCAAGAAAAGCCAAAGATCCTAAGAAAAAACAAGTACTGTTTTATAAAGCAGAAGCTTTCTGCATTAGGTATACAAAACTGGGGGACTGAGCATTTATAGCCTGGAGCTTGTGCAGAAAATCTAATGCTATATTCAGAGAATCACAGGAATCATATGGGTGGGAAGGGACCTCCAGTAGTCTCTAGTCCAACCACCTGCTCAAAGCAGGTCTAGTTTCAGCAGATTGCCCAGGACTTTGTCCAGCTGAGTTTTACATATCTGAAACCTCTCCAAGCAATATTATCTTTAGCTCAGTCACTCTTCCACTGTACTATGAAATCACCCACCTGCTCCTGACTAATTACCAGTGTTTTAATTGCCAGTGAACAAAAAGGATTTAATAAAATCTTCTCATTAGTCAGCAACAAGCATATTGTAAACTCCCATCTTCTACTTGCAAGGGAATTTTACTCTTCATCTGAATTATTTAACTGTTCTAATTTCTGTTCATTTTGTAGTTTAGATTAAAACTACCTAGCATTTTACAGACTGGAAAAAAAGTACTAATTACTTAAGAAAATCGCCTATAAATGTATTTGACCTAGAAGGCACAGGATGGCATCAATAAAAATTGAACTTTAAATTGGAGCAACACTGAACAATCAGAAAACAACATGCCTAGCAGTGAGAAACCAAAGATACACAATTAATTAGTACTGTTGTCATCTGAAAGTTGAAAACAGTGCTTATATCAGGTAACAAAAGATGTTAGATGATGAAGTTTGTTGGCTAGAGTTGCAGTAAAATATTTTAGAAAACATGACACTGACAAGTATAGTCTGGTACCACACTGCACCGTAGTTATTGCAAAGAAGCAATCAGAATGGAAAAGGGCAGCACTTAAGTGAAAGAAAATGGCAACACAAACCTTTTTTCCCTGAGAAAATGGCGTATCCTCTGACTTATAGGACTGCAGAATCTCATCAAAGATAGGCTGTACTGAGAAAGTATGGAAATTACATTTAGATGTTATGATTCACTATGTACAAATTATGTTCATAAAGTACCAGCACTGCAGAAATTTGAACCCTCTTCTGTAGGCAACTTGAAGGAATTGAGACAGTGCTAAGTTAATTTAGTTTGCTCCCCAATACATTATAGGATATGAATAGCTCATGAAGAAGAAGAAACATTTGAAAGAGGCACTAAGAAATGCAGAGTTGAGTTTCAAACAGGGTGAAAAAGCAGCTGTTTTGGCTATCCTGAAAGCAATTACATTTTAATAGCTTTCAAAAGACCTGAGATTTGTTCATACACTTGCTATAGGGCTTGTAATAACCACAGAGGTACATGGCTGATTTTTTAATTCAAATGTCAACACATGCTTTTACACACTGTAGGGATGTTCTCAGATCAGTGACATATCTTCATGTCTGAGGACTGATAAGTTTGCTTAGAGCACAGGTTTTACACATACTTTCATAACTTTCATAAAAACATCCAGATTTAATAGATTTGACTGCTTCCTTTCAGTACTTATCATATATTCCTCAGAACTGGAAACCTCATCTTTACTTATAAAAAAAATTGGCTCTTTATTTCTGAATATTCAGAGGATTTCCTTTTTTAAATCGACTGGTATATTGAATCAGACCAAATATATTCTAACAATTGTTGGAAGTATGCCTTCTTCCTTAAACTTCTACATTAGTACACTGTGTTACCCTAGTAAACGTGAAATTATTTTAATCAGCAGTTATAACCACCGTAAGATGATGTACCAAATTCCTGTTAATAGAGACTATTTCCACAAAAACAATTTAAAAATTGTTCAAAATGACAATGGAAATTGTTGTTCTAAGTTATATAGTAACAAACTTAAACAATAATGCACTTAAAGGAGGCGATCAGCACTGAGCTCAAGTGCATAATTCAGCCCAACAGAAGAATTCCCAGACGGCAGAATAGTATTTTCATGTTCATGTTGTAATGCTTATATATTTTACCAGATAATCTCAAACACAAACTAAATAGACAGATGGCAAGGAGAAGAAAACATACAAACAACTATAAATGTACATATAAAACAAAGGGGATTACTAAAAGAGAAAGAGCTGAAAAATACAATTAGCCATTTTGTTATATTTAACTTTATAGTCATCTAAGTCCTTTCCGTTAGGAACCCAGTTCATCATAATGTTCATGGATCATGACGTTTGACCAGGAAATCTGGCTGGGGTTGCCACGCGAGAGACCAGAGCCCCTGGAAGCCCCCTGCAGAAGGGCGGGTGGGCAGGGAGGCTCAGCGGAGCCGGGGGCACAGCCTGCGGGCGGGCCAGGGTCTCCTGAGGAGCAGAGGAGAAAGAGGAAAGAGCTGCTGGTGACAGGAGGAGAAAGAGAGGGTCTGAAAAGATGGGCTACAGGGTGGGTGAAGTGCAGTTGCATGTGAATGAGGTTGGAAAGAAGGAAGGGCCTTGCAGCAGGAGAAATTTTTAAATTATTCAGTTCACTGAGCTGGATGTGAAAGTACCTACAGCCATTATAAACAACTTTCTTAAATTCATGTTGACATCAACAGTCTGCTCCCAGCTCACCTGAGGCCTTAAGCATATGCTTGACTTTAAGTCTGTGCTTAGTTCAGTTAAGTGTACACGTGAAGTTAAATGCATTATCAAAGGCTTCCTGAACTGAGGATTAAGATTCCACTGGATTGGAGAGAACAAAAGACAATACTGAAATTATTGAATGTTATCAATTTTACAGTAATATAACATAGGAATGGCCAAGGAGATTTTCCAGGGTTGTTCCTGGGCTTGGGAACGCCTGGTCTCTGCACTGTGGCAGGGAGAGCAAGTGCGAAGCCCTGAGGGCCAAGGGCAAGACCAGCTGGTACAAATGAAGATGAGAGATTCACTGCCAAACAGGCAGCTCACCTCTTTCTTAGCCTCAGAGCCCAAGTCATGTCACAGCAATTATTGTTATGGTATAGCTTATCCCTAGTAAACATACAAACCTAATGCCTGGGTTTGTAAGGTGCCAGAAGGCCAAAGTTTGTATGAGTATTGTAGTATCTGCATATGGCTGCTGGGGCTGTTGCTGTCTTCCTTCTCTTCCCCTTCTGCTAGCCCAGGCCAATGCTTTAATATCTGTGAACAAAGTTGTAATCAATGGCTGAGGCTTTAGACAGCGAGACAACTTTGGGCAGAACGAGGGCATTGCCTGTGCCTTGCAGCAGTGAAGAGGCACAGCACTGCGCTGCCGTGGCAGCGGGGGAAGGCTCCTTCCAGTACGGGCAGACTCACTGCACTTGCACCAGCCGGAGTTGTCTAAGGCCAGCTCTGGCTAAAGAGAAACGGAGTCCATCCCCTGCCCCCATCCCCTGCTCTTATTGATCTTACTTTGTCATCTCCTGAAGTGACTGGTTCCTCTATGAGCAGTTCAAAATTACAACACAACCCGATGAAGCTCAGAGGACTTGTGCCAGCTCCCAATTATTGTTTTTTAGTGGTGGCAGAAACATTTAAATCCAGTATAAACAATAACAAAACCAAAAAATATTGTGGAACAGACTAATATCTAACTACAAAAAAGACTGAGAGCACAGATGTTTCACTTTTTTACTTCATGTGCTAATGAGGTAAGATACATAAAAAATGCAGAAAGCAGAAAGGGTTTGTGAGCTGACTTTATGAAAGAAAGCATGAAGTGTTTATACTGTGAATCAAGAGGAGTGTGATGTAATGGAGGTTTAGTAGAAGATAATGAGTGATATATTTCAAAAGACTTTAAGAGCGCTGTGCCATATCTGCTGTGTGGTGTCAGCCAGGCAGAGCGCATCATGCACAGCACAGTTCTGCAGCAGAAAGCTGGGAAAAGACTCCAGTCCAGCTCACAGACAAATCTGCACCAGGTTTGAAAAATCACTCAGACCTGCTGAAGTAAAACCTTAACAAGCACAACTGCCTTTTGAATCAAAGTCCGTAGGTTTGCAGTGAACAGCCTGATGAGGGGCACAGGCAAAGATGGCTTGTAGGGAACTGGGTGCCTTGGCTACTACCTTAGTTTCAGAGATGAGAAAGCAGTGAGGATCAGCACCAGCCCTTTGGACAACAAACAACTCCACAGAGAATGTCCTATCAAGATGAATATGGCTCATTCAAGAATTAACTCTCTACTCATCTTCTACCTCAGTTTTTTGCTGCTCATCCATTTAAAAAGTAAGATTTGCACTTTTTCTTACTGTTCTGACATGTCCTCTGGGTAGATGGCTAGACATGCACTTCTAGCAGGAAGCTTGTGTTGTCAGAAGGCTTTAAAAATTTGATGGAGATGCCAGAAAGATTTGGTCCATGAAACTAATTTGTATGAACTCAATGTGTGATAGTTTTCCTGCTCTTCATGCTTAAACTTTTTTTAAAATGAGGAATGAAAACATTTTTAATACGTTGTTTCACATTGAAAGTACAGCAATAAAATGTTCCATTAAAACTGTACCTATACTTTAAAGTCTGCATTTTGATGCCATTCATCCAGTAAATTCAAACATATCTGATTAAAATCTAGACTAATTTATCCTTTGCTAAAGCTGTTCATGTTTTGTATTTTAATAGCATTCACTACTTTATTATATATGCTTTTTTAATTACAGCCTCTAGAGAAATGAGTTGTTAAATGACTGGGATATATTTAGTGTTCTAAATATCTCCATTATGAGGGAGGATAAAAGTCCAACTATTTTTATAGAGAAAAATATTCTCAGCAAACTTCCACATAAATAGAAGTATGTAAAACACTGGAAGTCACAATGGGTTTCCTGGATAATTGTGTCAGATGGTTGAGAGTAAATACAAGCCAAGGAAGCTAAATGGCCTCAGCTGGTGAGGCTGATATATGTGTATGAAAAGCAGTAGCTCTTGAACATGTTTAAAATGAAGACAGGCAGGATGTGTGTTTGTCTGAGGAGGCTGCTTGATTTGTGTCTGTTGAATGTGAATCGCAATAAGACAAAGCTTTGAGCAGCTGCCATTAAACAAGAAGACTTGGCATTAGCGTACAGTGTTGTGTAATCTGGGTCACCTTCTGTTACTGCATCACTCAAATTGTTACTTGGACAGTTTACAGCCCAACATAAATTAAAGACTGAAAAGCAAACAGATGCAGTTGGATCAACCAGCACTAAAAAAAAAAAAAAACCAAAAAAAACAAAAAAACAACAAAAAAAAAAAAAAAAAAAAAAAAAAACAACAACAACAAACCCAGACTTTAAGATACAGGAAAAAAATACAGAATGTCATAGAAACATCATTTAATCCTAGTAGTTTTCTTCATGGGGATGTACTGATGTGAATTGGGGTAGCCAAAGTGTTCTTTTAAATGAACTCACAACAGAACATATCCTGAGAAAAGAGAGACTGGATCTTCCACTTTCAGAAAACAATTTTTAAAAGTTTGTATACTGTAGAATTCACAACCAGAAAGTGTCTGAGAGAGTCTGCTATCTAACTAAAAGAGAGTAACTGGAATGGTGTTAGTTAAGAGAATTTCATTTATACATGAGGCAGGCAAATTAGAACAAAATATAAAAGCTTTGGGAAAGAGAATAAAAAGTTAAGTGCATTAAAAAATTAAAAAGGTCACATTAAAACCATCATGCACAAAGAAAACATTGCTAGAATGTAAACAAGAAAAAAGCCCCCCAAGAATCAGTTAGAAAAAGACGATAAACACAGGTTTTGGCTTTGACTTTGGGTGAGCTGCTCAACGCAGGATACCAGAAGAGGGAAAAGTAGTTGTATGTCATTTTGTGCCTTTTCCTTAGCATGGTTGGCTGGGGTGACGTTTCAAATGTGGCATGAGTTTTCTTTGGGTTATGGCCATATGGCCAGTCTCAAGCCAGAGGCTTTTCAGTCTTGCAAGACTCTCCTTCTCAGGTAGATTTGTGGCCGTTGCCAACTGTTGCGATACAAATTGATATACCAGCATGGAGCAGCTACAGTGGGAGACAGAATCAGTCTCAGGACCATATCTGTATCTACTGATGCAGTGTATTTAATGATCTCAGTAGGTCTTTTCTCTCGAGAACGTTTGTACACTGTTTGAAACTGGTAACAATTTCTATTAATAAAAGCATAACTGTGAACAGATGAAACAGAAATAGAAGCAGAAGAATTGACTGCAATTACTTCCTTACTTAAAGCTGAGAAAGACCAAGATAGAAAAGCTGAGGATAAAATAGAACAGAGATGATTGCTGATATTTATAAAAGTTACATCAGCCATTGTATTTTTTAAATCAATTTACTTGACTTGCCTTCCCCTTAAGGATTCTCATCTTACGTTCTGCTTAATGTCTTCCTTATATTTACCTTTTCTAAACAACTTGGGAAATAAATAGTATTTAGAAGCCAAGTGTTCCTAAGGACATATCTGCATATAGCTTCTTTTCAGCTCATCCATTTTCCTGAGGTGAAGAGAGGTATGCATACATTGAGAAGTGTCCCATACAAACAGTAGGTGTTCTAGTAACAGTTGCAATGCAATTAAAGCATTTTTCAGGAATGTTGCTACATGAAAACAAAATATTCTAATATAGCATAAAATTAATATGTTGAACATTAAATGAAATTCAAAGTTGTTTAACATTATTAAAATAACTCTGTGCCCTCTTATTTGTAACATAGCTAATGTGTACTTTGGAATATACTTTGAGATACTATTCTTTAATACCTATACAACAATAAGTGTTGAATAGATGCTAAACTTTTATTAAAGTCTTATGACTGCACATAGTCTTCAGCTTTATAGAAGATTTAAGATATTAAAGAGTGTGGTCCTGTCATTTGTGGTTCCTTTTGAATCCCCGGGATAAGTAAAAATTATATTTTACCTTTATTATCACTGGTAAGAACAGTTAGCATCGAACTGTACAGAAACGGATTTCAACCTGTAAATCGTAGCTTTCCTACAAACAACTTTTTTTTTTTTTTTTTTTATTGATTTCAATTGTATAAAATGCTTTTGGAAAGACCATTTGTAATTAATTTAGTCGATTGGAGCCCAAACTGATATTTGATGCTGTCAGGTGCAACACCTGTACAAATATGTATATGGGTGCTCAGAAATACATGTACGTGATAAAAAAAGAACAGGTATAGTTTCATCCTTCAGTGTTACATTTCCAAAAAGATTGTGGGCTTAGTCCTCTCTCAACACACAAAAAAAGTAGCCTGTTGGAGAGCTATTGATGCCTCCTTGATTGCACACTGGCCTGCCTCAGGGCAAGAGCATCCATCAGGTTTCTCTGATATTTGCTGCTGTCATATGCCTGAGGTGAAGAGGTGCTGCTGGTGAAGGTGTGAGGACTGTACACCCACCCAGGGGCAGAATTTCTCTGCTGGCAGGCAGAATCTCTGGAGGTTAAACATTTCCAGACATCTCATATTAGTCATCCAGAAATTACAATACAAGAAATCAGCATCTTTGAAAATTTAGCCCTCAAATGACATTAATTTTGAAAATAAAACACTGAATTATGTATTCACAGTCAAGGAACAGAAAGGGAGTTCTGATGCAAGGACACTGATCAATCTCTGTAAGCGGGTGTTGTTTGTGACTAATGACCTATTAGGAAAGAGTCTGATGGGAAAGGAGGTTAGACAAAAGGGTGTTTTATCACTCGTGTTGAACCAGCAGCACAGACCTTGCACGGATCTTGAAACACGGAAATACTGTGCAGCATCAGTGATAATGTACTGGAGAAACCAGTGCTGAACTGTTAAAGCATGTCATACAAGCACAGGACAAAAACCTAATGTTTTAATACATACATAAACCGTTTAAAGGTATCTCCACTCAGAGATTACATCTGTATCTATCTATCCACAGATTTTTTCCCCTGTGTTACTTTTGATGAACCTAGGACACCTAGGGAGTCCTGTCCCAGCGCAATGCTCTACACCTTTTCCTCTCTGCAGGAGGAAACTCAGGAAAAAAAAATAGTACTGTTTAGACAATGCTCAAATCTTAATGGCCAAATGGAGTACTTCTCTATTGAAAAGCTATGTGGAAAGGCAAATATTTTGCTGTTATATGTGGACAGGAAAATGACATGCAAGACACGGCAAAGTAATCAATCCAGTATTCAGTGCTGGCTATATCTGGTTTTGAGTGCTGCTGTGAGCAAGAAGGAGGCAATTAGGAAAATGCTGGAAAGGGACAGCAAAAATAGGAAGACATTTAAAAAGATGTGCCCTATGAGAAAGGGTCACGGGAAGAGAAGCCTGAGGGAGGGCATGATTACAGTCTTACCTAGACAAAATAGGATGGCAATCAAGAAAGATGATGAGATTTGTTGCTCCCTGTGACCTTTGGAGGGGCAGGCTCTGCAAAATAATAGATTCCACATGCAGCAGGGAAGATTTGAGTGAATTTTCCCAACTGAATGATAATTAAATCTCTATATCAGAACTTTTTAATGAACAGGTTCGATAAATATCTGTCAGAGATTGTCTAGACTGCTGTTTCACAGTTGGTGTTACACAGATGTAGGGCAGTCAGCACCACCTTGGGGGTGATCTGTGAAGATCTCAGGTGATGGAGACCCAGAGAAGCACAGATCCCTACTTGCCCCAAGGGCTGTGGTGGCACTGAGGCTCCAGGACAGCTCAGGCACAGCTCCTGGGCTGGGCAAACCAATGGCTCCCTTCCCTCCTGCACCACAACTGGGTTTAATTGACTGTTCAAAACAAAGGCAGCCCTGAACCCAGCCCCATTTGTTGCATTAACAACATTGTTGCCTAAATTTCAGTGTAGAAAATAGTTTACTCTCATTCTTTGAGGCATCAAGTGCCTACTCTTAATTTTTTGTTACCCTAGACTTTAAATAAGCACTTCAGCTATTGAAGGCACTCATTACAATGAGGAAAGGTAGTACCCCCATGCTAGAGATCATATAGCTTTATTTCCAGATTTTGGAGACAAATCACTTATCTTTTTATTTGCAGTTTGAGCATACTTGATATATTGGCAGTACAATGCAAGAAAATATTGTTAATGTATTGATAATTAATAGTATCGTTTTCATGGTCAAAAAACCTGAAAATGAATGGAAAACATGGTTTGCCTGCTGAACCTACACCCAGCTTCTCACTCCATATAAAAAGGCAGTGTAAGACCAGAACCTACTGCACCAAAATGAGTATCAAGAAATTCCTAGGAAA